CTATGATAAAAATTATTAAATTGATTCCTTCTGCTTGATAAAGTGCCAATAAATTCTTACAGCTGCACTGGGAAGCATTCTTATAGCCCTCTCAAGTTTTGTCTGTGGTACAATTCACTTATTCAGAAACGTTTGGAGCCAATTATCTACTAGATACTCTCCTGATGATACAAATAATTAGATGAGATCCCTACCTTCAAATTGTTCTCCATCATTTGGAAAGTACAGGCATATAAATACATTATTATAATAGAGTACAGTAAGGCCTATTAGAAGTTAATTAGAGTGCCATGAGATTAACTGAAGGAGATGCAAATAGAAGTCATGGTACCATAAGAGAAGCCAGCCTTTGGGGAGCAATATGATAAAATCGAGTAGTGCTAAAGCACAGATGTGTGGAAGGGAGAGTGGGGTAAGAGATAAGGCTAGACATGGGGGAAGGAATGAGTTCATGAAAAGCCTTAAATACTTTGTAAAGAGCTTGTGCCTAAGTGGGATTGAGACCCACAATAATCTGCGTTTTAGAATCATCATTCTGGCAGTATAAAAATTATAGATAGGATTCAGGTCTTTGTTCCAGGGACAAATCTATCCAGTGAAACATAGTGACCCAGTCACACAAACACAGATGATCCTTCTTACGGAAGAGCTAAAGAGGCTGTCTTTTCTGGGTGAGCTATTACACTCTTATTGATCTCTGGCTAAAATTTCCTGTCCAAAGTCATGGAAGAGGAGGCCAGTTAAAATCATTTAAAAATGGAAAACAAGCATCAGTTTAAAATCAGGAATTTTTAAAAGTCTGCTTGAGGAAAACATATGAAAAATTGATAAATGAAAAGATAAGGTTACAAGATGATTTTTTTAACATTTTTGATCATTTTTATGCTTGCTTATCCGATGTTCTAGCTAACAAAGCCACAGTCCATAATGGGCTGTTAAGTAACCCATGCCTTTTCCCTTCCGTTACTTAGTAAGAATGAATTCTAGATCTCCAATCTGGTAACTCTATAGACACAGGGAAGGCATGAATTTTGCATCTGTTATACCATTGGCCTCTGGTTTTGCTGAGGGAAAGGAAGCAAAAGAAATCAAATGGTGAAATTCTGGGTTAAAATATTCAAACACTGTGAAACATGATTTTTGGAATTTTGCAAAGATTATTAACTAGCCCCATTAATAATATACTGGGAATTGCTGGTTATATAACTTAAAAAACCACTACATTGCAATAACTTTTTTTTAAAAAACTATATAAAAAGTTATTTTTTTCCTCTCTTTTACCTTGATATAAATGAAGTAAGTATCTTATCAGGTAAAGTATAAAAACAGTTTTACTTAAGATAAATTTCACATCATGCTTAAAGGGAAAAATCTTAAATTATGTAATTGTAACTTAAGGAGGAATCAAAGTAGTCCTCAGCGTACTCCCTTAGGAAGAAATCCATCTATTTGAAAGATAAAAACAAAAAGAAAAACAAAACCCCGTGAAATTAATCTAATGTGTGCATAAATATAGTAGGCCTCTCTATAAAATTACAAATAATTCCCTCATTCACCTAATACTCATTTTGTAATTTTTTCCGTTACTCTTAGTATTTTGTTTCACATTTACAAAACACTATTTATATGCACAGTATTAAAACCACAGCGAAAGATTACCAGGAATACCATCTACTTAAGAAATGTGAAAATTGTGAATGAATAAAAATTGACTCGTCCTAAGTCATAAAAGGCTGAATGTAAACCCAATGGAATTGAAATATGGGGTTGCATAGCATTTATAGTCCTACCATTAATGTCTAACTGATCCACAGATTTCAGCTCTAACTCTTAATTTAAAACTGGTCTGGAGAAAGATTTTATGAAGATGTCAGTTGGTATGGAGAAAAAAATTGGAATGATTGTAAAAATTTGCATGAGTGCTTAGGAATACAAAAACAAGTTGAATGATGATTTGGATTAGAGTTAATATAATTTAGACATAGTAGATACCAGTCTCTCCATTGACAAAACTGGAGGATTTCATTTTGTAATACATGTGCTAATTTTGAAATATGCTATCTCAAATCTAGGCATAAAGCTTTTCTTGGGATTCTCTCTCAAATCTAGACACAAAGCTTTTTTTCCTTGCGTAAAGAGCGCAAGGGCAGATTGCAAAAATATTATGTAATAAGCTACAATTTATGGTAACTTTCAGAAATTCTCTCCAGATTTTGACTAGCCTTATTTTAAGGAGTTCTTCAATTTTTCTCTTGATGGGGCCTGTGTGGAGGGGTCTTGGGTTATTTTTTCCTCCTCAGAGTCCTTGGGCCTTCCTATAAAGAATATTTGGAATTACAAAAGTGTCCAAAAATTGGCCAGCCTATAGGAAGATGGAAATTGTCAGGAACTGCCTTCAGGGAAAGTCCAGTCACGAATGATTAGAAGAACATTTAAGGTTTCAACAATCCCTTCTAAAAGCCCCATGATTTCTGAAAAGTGGTCAGAATATGAATAAATGAAATAGATGATTGATGTAGTTCCTAAGGTGAGTTAGAGAGTAACAGATTCAATACATTTTTGACCAGTATTTCCCAGGCATAAAACGAAGAAACCGATAGAAATCAGACCACGGACAAGAGTTAGAATTTTAATAAAAATGAGACAAAATTATCCATAAATATCTTTGACTTCTGATGCACATTGACCTGCTACAGGATAATCTCTGCTTATCCCTCCTGGTCTATTCTTCACCTTCTCCCTGTGGCTCTCAGCCTCATGAACTCATTTATGGATAGACTGCTTCAACCAGGCTCTCTTGCCTTGTAGCTTCTTGTTGGTTGCTGCAATGTGGGCACCAGTAGAATATGAGAAGGTGAAAGAAATGAGGAATTATGGCATTTATTTCCCTTGTTCTCTACCTGCCAGGGCACATGTTGTTATATATAGCTTTTTTTTACTTAAGGTCAGGCTCTTGTTGGGTGGTCCTCTTAAATAGCACAGATTTTTCTGAGTTCTGATAATGCTCTGTTCTCTCAAGCCTAGGTGTGAAAGCAGCTTCCAATTGTAGTCATTGCCACAGGCGAGAAGGGTTAGTGGGGTACTGAAAACGTCAAGTGTTTGTCACACAACAGACACAAAGGGTGTCCCAAACAAGACTTAATATGTATAAAACAGTAATTTTCAAATGGCAAGGGTTTATGTTGATTATTTTGGTATGGAAAAAATCCTCTTTGCGTTAGGGTTCATATGTCGTATGCTCATAATTTAGATTGCCAGAGTTATAAATTGCTACGGAGCGTGTATCCTGGTTACCTTAGAGATTTCTTCTCAAGTAGAAAGTGGCAATTATAGTCTCCAGGGGCCCTCGGAAATAGTATCTGTTTTTGAACTCGAGCAAGATATGAAGGCAGGAGATTTTCAGGGATCTCCAGATGTGGCTGCTCCAAAGTTACATGGTCCCACATGTTCCAAATCACTACTCCTTGGGGGAATAGCTTATAATTCATCTATTCTTCTCACTTTCTGGAAAACTAGTAAGCCTGGAGCTTTTGATTTAAATATTATAGAATTAAGTGCTTATGTGAGAAAACAGACCTATGGGTAAATAGATGGTAAAACGAGTATTAACTGCAGCAATAATTACACAGTATATAATCACCTCTGTGGTTGTTACAGGCCAAACAATGGCAGACAAGTGAGATGTTCATTAAAACCAACTGTGTTATTCAAAGTCCTGAAACTCAGAATGCACTCAGCAAGGAAAGAGGTTCACATGCTATTCGTTGTCAGAGCAGCTAGGAATGCACTCCTAGTCCCTGAAGATTCAGCCTCTTACAATGGGAAAGGCTGTGGATATAGTGCTTTCGTGAATGCGGTGTAGTGACAAATTTACAGCTATTTTAACAGCTATTTTACATTTATTTAGTAAGACCAAACTAACATGTTTTTTCCCTAACGTGGTTTTAAATTCTGGTTCAAAGTTGGGATTTCGGAGCTTGCCCCTGACACTGGTTTCTATGATGATACCTCTTTGGCAAGCAGATTTTGAGGTGGTCCCCAGAGTCACTTTCTCCTGGTGTCTATATTTTCGTTTAATTTAGTCCCCTTGAGTGTGGACAGGACATGTGACATACTTCTAACCAATTGAATTTGGCAAAGGTGGTAGGATTTCACCTCCCTGATTGCGCTGTTATAGAAGACTCCTTTTTGCTATCAGACTGGTGCTAGAGGCTCTCTTCCCTTTCTGGCTTTAAAGAAGCAAGGTGCCATGATGTAAGACAGCTTATGGAGGAGGCCGTGAGGCAATGAACTTCAGGCAGCCTCTAGTTCCTGATATAAGCCTCTAGCCAGCAAGCAACAAGAAGTTGGAGCCCTTGCTCTTAATAGTCACTAGCAAATAGATTCTGAACTTGGGAGTGAATCCGTCACCAGTTGAGCCTCCAAATGAGAACTAAGCCCCGGCTCACATGTGGATTGCATGCTTGCAGAGGACCCAGCTAAGCCACATGTGTACCTACCCACAGAGACTGTGAGATAATAAATATGTGTTGTTTTAAGCCACTGAGTGTGCAGTAATTTGTTACACCGCATAGGAAACTGATACTTGCTCCATACAAACTGAGGGAGTACCATGAGCCAAGCATTATTCATAGTACTTGAGAAGACTACAAAAGAGATAAATCCATGCAATTGAGGAGGGTATGGTAGGTGATTTCTAATATGTGTGGCTAAAAAAATTCAACAGGTAAGATACCTTCCTTTCACACACAGATATGGGGAAACTACAATGTTAAACGGCTGTTCTACTGTAAGTGCATATGAGAGCAAAGCAGATTTATGCAATAGAATTAAAATTTTTATCAAGGTCCATCAATTACAGTTTGATGCCATATGTATGTATATTTGCCATTTTGCCATTCAAGATAAGGAATCATTATTATCTGCCATGTGAGGGTGTATATCCTTGCCATTATGTTCTGTAACATCAGGTAGAAGAGTAAAACTTCACAAAATTTCACAAAACTCAGGAATGCTAAAAGAAAAATCTGTGACTTGCTTTTGCTCAGGGGCCATGCTGTCCTTCTCTGTATGGTTCCAATTTTCGTATACGTGCTTGTGAAGCGAGCACTGTGACATGCCTTTGCATTCTGTATCACTAGCTTACCTTGTCAAACATCTGTACCAAATCTATATTAGAGAGATGGTCACTGTCTTAGATGAAATTTTCAGCAAAATTTATTGAGTGTCTGGATTTCTTGAATGAAGCAGATAAATGCAACAAATCATACTAATAGGAGCAGAAAGAAAGGGAATTAAAGAGAGGGAGGGAGATGGTGCAGATGTTAATTAAAAAAAATCTTAACGCAATGATATTTGAAAACTCTTGCCAGTTCTTATATTTGTTTGTTTGTTTTCAATTTATGAGGCTTTAGGGACTTCACATCAAAGCAACAAAAGAGTGGCTAAGCCCTGATGTATCATAAAGAGCCTCTGCAGCAATAATTAATATATGGGGCCACGGACACTAGAATTAATCTTGGAAACCACTCTCAAGGTGATGGAGAGAATAAATGTGCTGTGGGAGTACCCCCTGCTGCTGCACCATCATTGTTGTGTTCTATCATTGATCACTGATGATAGCAAAGAAGTGATCACTCACAAGACAGAATTCATAATAAGTTTTCAGATATGGAAAGATCCTTACTCACTTCTATGTTTGTAACAGTCCATGTTTAATGAATACTATTTTCTTTTGTTTTCCTGTTTTTTTATTCCCTTAAGGGCACAAGCAACAAGCCTCCTTCTCTTCTTTCCCCTGCATTGGAGGCAGCACTGGAGGCCAGTTAATTCACTATTTTGAAATAGCTCTTTTGGCTACAAACTCGTTTCCAGATGTAAATATGTGGTTCTAAAAGAGTATAGAAAATCCAAGTATTAGTACTAATGCATGGTTACAAATGTATGGGCAGTACAGATAGGACCAACTCTGCCCTAAGCCAGACACCCAAACTGACATCAAAATTGAGAGACCACCTGGGTGTAACAGACACTGGGAGGTGTCCACTGTGCTTTTTCATAGTGGTGGTGAAGGTACCATTGTCAGCATTAGTTCCACAACTGGGGTCCCACTAATTCAATGCTTCCTTTCCTTCACAGAAGGGGACTCTAGGCACTGCAGTGGCTGGGCACTGTCAATGTGCAAGACAGGGTTGCTAGGTAACATGCATCCTTGTTAGGGGCATCTTGTAGTTTAACCAGCCTCCCTAGGAGACCTCACTCTGAGAGTTCCCTCAGTCTTGAACTCTTCTTGGCTGCTGCACTTTTGCCTTCTTGATGCCTTCTCATCCTCATAATCAGTAGTTGTGGCAGATAATGAACATTTTTCTATAGCAAGTAAATTGTAAGCTCTACGTAAGACTCACAGGAGAACAATAACTCTCTTTGGAAATAAAGAGGTAGCCATGCAAAATAAACAACTGTTTGGTCCATTGCTATTACCTTGTTGCTTTCTGGGAGTGTTTATTTGAGTTTCATGAGTGAAGTTGGTACTGTAAATAAAACTTCCCCCACGATCCCAAGATAAGGCTTAGTTCTCACAATCTAGATGGAAATGTGCATGTTGTTGGAAACATTATGTTGTACAATTTAGATTCCTCCTTGTGTACAAGACTCCAAATATTTCTTAATAATAACATCCTTATTTCTAATCATGCCCTAAAAAAACACCACCTAATAGCTCACCTTTTCCCTTTGAACTTTTCTACGCGTTAAATCCAATCTTACAAAAGTATAAAGGACACCTACGCAACAGCTTAGAATGAGTAAGATCACAATCAACCCGAAAGAATGCTTTATACTTGTCCAGAAATTCCATACCAGGAATACTCCAAAGAGGAAATAAGTGTGTTTATCTCTGGTAATAACAATACAGCTGCTTAGCAATCAAGTTAACTTTATTGTCATTTTTATCAAGCAGTGTGTTTACACTGGAGACAATGTGAGGAAAGAGGAATCTGTACTGGGATATCAGCACAATGAAAGTGTATTTCTAAACACAGTCAGCCTCTCTTTTATGAAGCAAGATGATGACTACTTAAAACACTCTGTTTAGAAAAGCAAAGATTATTTAAGGTTTAGAAATGTCATAACACATTTAAGGCTCAATCATTTCAACTTTTCTCCAAAATCACTTTTTCAACATTACTTATTCTAAAACGTATAGAATATGGAATATTTCATCAAAAGGGGAAGAAGATCTTGTTATATTCTGTGTGTACACGTGTGTAAGTGTGTGTGTATGTATGTCTGTGCATGTGAGTGTGTGTGTGAAGGAGCAAAAAGAGAATTATTCATTGATTTTGTTCAACAATCTGTCTAGGATAATTTGTCTAAAAAAGAATAAAACAGGTTTATTTTAATAAAATTAATTAGAAACAATTATTTTTTTAAATTAAACAATTAACCAATCATGAGGAAGCCTCATTTTTATTTTTTCTAACAGCTTTTTTTTTTCTTAAGGAAGTTCAAGAGGCTGACATCTCACAGGGACTGTTCAATGCATGTTTGGATATAATAATTATCCTCTTCCCTGACCTCAGCAAGTATACTTAGACCAACTCAGATGAACCACAGATTTTGCTCTATCAGCAGAAAAGTGGAGGCACACAGAAAAGAGGATCTTTGGGTTTTTGTTAAGGAGGAGAGGAATGCCAATATGTAGAAAGAAATATGGGACCTGGGACTTCTCTCTGCTAAGCTATCATAAGAATGCAGATGAATTGGATCTTAAAGGCACATGCAGGAATACTTGACATTGACTCTGCTGTCAGCTGGCCAAGTAGGAAAGAGTTGTAGGATTTCTTTTTTTTTTTAATGCTTACTAATGCCTTGTCACGGAGCTTGTCCAAGGCCCAGCTCTGAGTTAGTGAGACTGTCTTCCTACTTACACTCTCAGTGGTCCTCACCCTTCTTGGAAACTAACAATCACTTTTTGCGCTCCCTCCTCTTTTCCATTAAACATTTTCTCTTCACCAATATGGATAAAATCACTATGGTAATACTTCTACAAATATTTGTAACTAAAATATCATATTTCACTAAAGAAGGTAGCAGAGTTTTGTAATGTACATGAACTGTGGAAAGAGTTCTGAGTCCCAATTACAGCTCCCTCCTTTTTCTGGCTAGGTGACCTCAGTCATGTTACTCAGCTTTTCTGATAATCATCTGGAAATGGGGACAATCAGATATTCTTTACATGATTGACTTGAGGATTACATCAGGAAACATATGTGAAAGCACCCAGCCTAGTGCTACTAAAATAGGAGAGAGGGTCTTAGTTATAGTCCATTAGAGGAATGTAAGGCGCCAGATAGCAGGTGGAGATTTTTATGAGGCTGAAGGGCTTTTCCACCACTTTGGATATATAGCCAGGAAGATGAAGACTTGAGTCTTTTAAATGATAGGTTGATTTACTCCTAAAATATATTTTTTAAAGGATAAAGTTGAATCACAAGTCCAAACACCTGCAATAATCCTTGCAAAGTCATTTGTGTGGCTCGTGGGATTTCGGACAAGAGCCTCTAGGGAGCTAAAACCCAAGTGTTTGCCGGTTATGTCATCCACTAATGTTGACCAACTTCCAAATACTTTCAGGTTGATAACTTATTCAAATTCCATAACAATCTTGTGAGTAGGGAGTATTATCCTCATTTTGTCATGAAAACATTGAGGGCCAGGGCGAATAAGTGGGTCTTAATTGTGACATTGGGATTTCACCCAGTATTTTGGAATTGGAGTCAATGGGCACTTTCTACAGTACCACCATTGAACTCTGCTCAATGGTCTTGAAAAATAATGGATGGTGGACTATTAGCAAGAGCTTTATACATAATGGACCATAAATAACCAAAGGCTTTTCCCCAAGATACTTCAAATGTTGGGAAGAAAGAGACCTTTCATCATGATGATGAATGATTAACACATAATAGCCACCAAAAAAACCAATGAACAAGAGCAACAACCATAAACCTAAAACCACACTTCCCCAAGTGCTGCTAAAAATAAATCGTTACTCATTTGTATCTTTATGTCAATATAAGGGAGGTTACTTTGCTGAATCTTTATGATTTATGCTTTGGGATAGAAAAGCTGTCAATTCTACAAGGTTCCTTGGTAAATCTGTACCTTACAAATGAGATCAGCACTACTGTTAACCTTTCTTTTTCCTGCAAATAGCAATTACGGGATAACTACAGAGTAAATCTAGGGCTTTGTGTCCCTGAATGCAGGAGTAATTTGGACTATTCTGGCTGTAACTTTGAATTGTTTAACATATGCTTTCTGTAGACTAGAAATACATTTTAATAACTTATTTCACCTCTCTAAATGCATGATTTTCCCTTTTTTTAGAAGTCAAGTGATTTCAAGAGTAGAGCAGGTTTAGCATATTCGTAAGAAAACTTTAAACAAATCAAGAAACATCTTCATTTAAGTATGGCTTAAATTGAGCATAAAGCTAGATTCTCAGAAACATCAAATAATTATACGACTAGAATTTTTTCGTCTTCAATGAAATAGATAAAAATATTCAGTGCTTCCTTTTTTTTAGAACCGTTGAAGTTCTAATTTCAACTAACTAAATTGTCAAATAAGTAGCAAAGATTAAAAATGGAACTTTATCTTTTACCACGTACTCTTTTCTTTAGCCATTTCTCTCAAGTGCGACCTATTCACATATGCTGTCTCTACCTCTCTTTAGTTTCCAATCTCTACTCTCTGTTCTTACTTTGTTCTACCTCTATTTCCCTTCTTCCAAATGTTGACAATGAAGTGTATGTAATCTGTTTACTCTCTTTATTCTTATGAGTGATCTGCTCTCTTCCTCTTATTATTTTCAGTTCTCCCCTTACTCATTTGCTTTCCTTTTGACCATTATTCCTCCTGTTCTCTTTCCTACTCCATCAAATGAAGGCTCTCCCCTTATTATCCCAACACATCTTATTCCAGTGTTGGGCGTGGATCTCCCACTGTCCAAACTCTCTGGTGCTGAGTCATGGTTCTACATGAACTAGGTTTTGGGAATTAAATCAACCACTCCTTGACCTATTCTACTGATAGGCAAGAGGTAAG